CAATACACTACGCCATACTTTTTTTCGCTCGACGCATGCGCGGTCGCCATTCCCGACGCATGCGCGGTCGCCGCTCCCAACGCCGCTCGGCGGACGCACGCCGATCACGGTAGAAAGACGCGCCCCTTTTAAATTCAAACCGTTACACTGTCCTTTTGAGAGTAAAACAGTTTCGTATTCTTGACAGAACTCTCGTGCGAGTAAAAAAGGTCAGGAAAAAAATCAGTGAAGAAATGAAATCACCGGATACACAGTTAAGAAATGCAAATTCTGTTAGAGACTTACTTTTTTATTGTACCCCTGTCATGACGATTAATTTATTATATTTACGATAGTTTATTATAACTTTTATCACTTCGAGAATAAATAACTATTGGTTTCTGATTGCTTAGAATATAAGCATTGTGTCATCAAAGAATTCCTCGTTTCGATTAATTTGTCATTAATTATTTTTCATTATTTTTCGTTTTTATTAAACACTAATGTACAACAATCTTTGTAAATAATACTCAATATGAATTTCTAATGGAATATAAGTTATAAGTATGGTTATACATTGAACCGCATTTTTCATAATTTTCCCTTCATTTCCGGGAAAAATGACAATTACATTTTTCGTTCCTTAGGATGCGTAGAATCATGCTGTAAAAACTTTTTCGTTCCGGCCATATGCCAAAATTGGCCTTTCTTTAACATCCTCCTTTGAGAAAAGGGGTAGCAACCTTTAACAAGAACTTCTTACTAATGAAATTGATGGAAAGTATATATATTGCAATTAACTACTGGAGCATTAATAAGAAGCTATAAATCGATAGAAACATTAGCATTCTATATTGGTACAACTGTGCAAACAATCCCCAAGTTTTAACCAACAGTGTGAAAGGAACTATTGTTTGAAATATTTAAAGCCTCGGTGTTCCCACACCGGCAAATTTAAACGCTCTTCTCTCTCTTTTAAGTTAAAATTGTTTCAAATTATCCCTGGAAGAATTCAGCGAAAGGAAAGGGAATTTTAGAAAATTGTTTAACCCTTTAACATATGCCAACGTGTCAAACTCGTGGCAGAGATTCTGATGAAGATGTGACAAAAATCGTTATATTAGCAAGAAAAATTCATTGTAATCCTAATTTTCGTTTGAATTTCTAAGACTGAGGATTACGAAGTGTAATTAATTTGTGACAGATTGGTTTTTGTTACCTGATGCAGTACTAAAGTAGAAAATGGCTGACGCTTAGATGCATAGTCAGAAAAGAAATCATATTTAAGGGGTTAAATAAAAAGATCAGAATATAGCAAATGTTAAGATGAAATTTGTATCTGTTACCGCGTAGTGGCATTCGTAACGAGATTGCTGATAAAACAATCCTCGTCATTGTAATTTTAAATCGTGTTGCATCGAAATTCAGAACAAACGTTGTTATCGAGCGATATCGTCGAGGCGGTCTGTTTCTGATTCGAAAATGTATTCGGTTTCCGGAGATCCCGTGCAGGATTCCGCAAGCATGGTAAACGTCTGACGTGTATATGGATTAAACAGCAACAACGTACGGCCTGACATTCGAATCAAAATCGTGGAACTCTTACACGCCACTTACACGTGCGCGCAAACTTACTCGGTAAATCCGCATCGTAAAATCTATTCGCGGGAGCGTTGACATTTCAGTCCAATTGATTTTCATTGTTCCGAGAAATCTGCGTGTCTATCGTGCCACGTCGCACACGCAAACGCGAATATTCGGTGTTTCTTCGCAGATTTAAGCTAAACAATGAGAAACCCACGGAGAGAAGTTATTGCAGCATTGCGGAGAGCTGTTGTGACATTAGTAAAAATGTATGACACGGTAGAGGTGAAGTTGTAATTAATGTATTACATTGTCTCCTTTTTAAAGCGTGGAACACGTTATTAAAATCGTAACAAATTTTCATGTGTACTTGAATCGACGTAATTCAAAAATTGCTTCGTTTGAAAAATTCGACGGACAAGAATTGAAAAATTTCGTGGAAATTTCTGTTAACTGTGAATTTCGATAAATCTAACTGCGTTCAATCAACAACTCTGTCGTTTGTTACTCTCGTAGAAATGATTTTAACAACGAGTTATTAGAAATAGCGTGTAATGCTGCGCTGTTACAAATAAATGAAATTATTCGGAGATTTCGATTCTATTTTCCAATGGAATTTGAATTCAACAGGATTAAATGAA